ATCTCATCCCCAATAATCAGTGATGGAACCAGCTGGCTACAACAGGATGCCAGAAACCACAGCCACTCGGTCTTGGAGGGGTTGAGTCTGAGCCTGTTTCTCCCTATCCAGATCTGCATGGCCTCCAGACACTGGGACATCACGTCAAGGGCATCATTGGGGTGGTCCGGGGTAGAGATGTACAGCTGAGTACCATCAGCGTACTGATGGAACTTCACCCCAAAACCACGGATGATCTCACCCAACGGCTTCACATAAATGTTGAGCAGGAGGGGCAAGAGGACCAACCCTCGCGGCACCCCACAAACAAGGCACCTCGAGGTCGACCTCTGCCCCCCTGGCAACACAGACTGCGTACGGTCAGAAATGAAGGAGGAGAACCACCGTAATATGGTGGAAAGAGGAACAACCCCTGTCCCGAGCCTTCCAGAGATCATCAACCAATGCGACTAATGCTGTTTCCATGCTGCACCCAGGCCTGAAACCTGACTGGTACGGATCTAGATAGACAGCTTCATCCAGGTGCCGGGGAAGTTGTCACACCACCACACTCTCAACAACCTTCACCACAAAGTGAAGGTTGGAGACTGGACAATAGTTTGCTAATACAGCCGGGTCCAGGGAAGGCTTCTTGAAGAGGGGCCTCACCACCGCCTCTTTCAAGGCGAAGGGGAAGAAACCGTCACTCAGAGAAGCGTTAATAATCACCTGGAGCCAGCCTCGTGTGACCGCCTGGGAGGACAGCACCAACCAGGAGGGACACGGGTCCAATAAACATGTGGCAGTTCTAAGCCTTCCCAGAATCTTGTCCACATTCTCGGGAGTCACAGGGTCAAACTCCTCCCAGATAACACTCTCAAGACCCATCTTCATCACCGCATCTGAGCCTACCCAGTTAGAGTTCAAGTGACTTCCCGAATCTGAGTGATTTTGTCATGCAGATATTGCACAAAATCCTCAGCCCTATTCTGCAAGGGGTCTTCCCGCTCTCCCACATGAAGTAGGGTGTGGGTTACCCTAACCAGGGTGGCTGGGCGGTTATCTGCAGATGCAACAAGAGAGGAAAAATAATTAGATTTTGCCACTCTTATCGCCACTAGGTAGATCTTAATATGAGAGCTCACCAGTGTTCGGTCAGATTCGGAGTGGCTGGCCCTCCAACCGCTCTCCAGGCATCTTTTCTGGTGCTTCATCTCTCTCAGCTCCTCAGAGAACCCGGGAGCCAATTGATATCGGCACCAGGTCAGAGGCCGCAAAGGCACGATGCTGTCCAAAGCTCCAGCAGCTGCCCTATCCCAGGCGGCCACCAGTTCTTCAGTTGAGTGGTGAGCCAGAGCCTCAGGGAATGGCCCAAGCTACGTCAGGAATCTATCCGGATCCATCAAGCACCTGAGACATAACCATCTAGTCGGGCCCTGAGGATCTGTGCAACCCGGGGAATGAGAAAAGCATTAGGGACTGGAGTGCGCTATTGCTCAAAGACAGCAGGTGCGCACTCCCAAAACATGATATGGCCCCCTGCTACCACCATATCTGCCCCTCCCACCCACAGTGCTGATTAAACAGCCCTCACTAATATGGAATCTAGCCCACTCCCTTAATGTGCCCAGTGATTGGAGAGACCCTTTATATCACAGCAAACTCATCAAACAGCTAAGGCTGAACAGATTCTTGTCTCTAATCTACCCTCAGTGTCATCATGAAGAATTATTGCTCTTTTTGATCCACTATGTAATACACATAGTTCATTCCATCACAAGTCTGCGGTCATATCACCCTGATGGGAGGGTTAACACATATGGCAGATGCCCCTGAAATCCTTAAACAAAGACTCTTGATTTCAGATGCTGCTCACTGTGACCTCTGCCCAGAAGACCGATACCCCAATCAGCACAAGGACCACTGCATTGCCAAGAGGATCCACTTCCTTGCCTATCAAGACACCCTGGGATACACTTTATTATGTCTCACTCTTTTCCTCTCTATGATCACATTGGCAGTGCTGGTGATTTTCCTTAAACATCACGAAACACCGATTGTCAAGGCCAACAACCGAAATCTCACCTACATCCTCCTGGTTTCCCTGATGCTCTGCTTCCTCTGCTCCTTCCTCTTCATTGGTCAACCCAGAAAGCTCACCTGTCTCTTCCAACAAACTTCATTTGCCATCCTCTTTTCCCTGGCAGTTTCCTCCGTCTTGGCAAAAACGGTCACAGTGGTTCTGGCCTTCATGGCCACCAAACCAGGGAACAAGACAAGGAAACTCTTAGGAAAACCACTGACCAACTCCATTGTCTTAGGCTGTCCCCTGATCCAAGCAGGTTTTTGTGCCACCTGGCTGGCAACCTCTCCTCCATTTCCTAACTTGGACTTCCAGTCTTTGATAGGAAAGATCATCTTGGAATGTAAGGAAGGCTCAGCTTCAATGTTTTATGCTGTCCTTGCCTATCTGGGTTTTTTGGCCCTTGTCAGTTTCACAGTGGCTTTTCTGGCTAGGAAATTGCCTGACAGCTTTAATGAAGCCAAATTCATCACTTTTAGCATGCTGGTCTTTTGCAGTGTTTGGATCACTTTCCTCCCCAACTATCTGAGCACCAAGGGAAAATCCATGGTGGCTGTGGAGATCTTCTCCATTTTGGCCTCTGGAGCTGGTCTTTTGGTTTGTATCTTTTCCCCCAAATGCTACATTATTTTATTGAGACCCCATCTTAATTGTAAAGAAAATATAATGAAGCACAGAAATCTCTGATTTGTATGGGATTTGGGAATTTTTATTTTGGCTTGGATGCATTTTGACAGTTGTCCCAAGAGAAGACTTGGTAATGAACATAGAAATCAACATTGAGATTAAATAAGTGGATAATATTTTCCACCTGTACAGTTTCTTAATTTAGTTTTTTCTGTCCTGGCCACTTTTTACAGAGGTATGATTGAGAGCATTTTAGCAAATTTTTGGTTTAGTGGCAGCATGCCTCAGATAGAAAGTTCTTACAGAGTGTGGTCAGGACAACCGAGAAGATTATAGGAAGCTCTCTTCCTATGATTCAGGATATTGCTTATAAGCACTACTTACTTAGAGCTCAAAGCATTGTTAGAGACCCCACACAACCACTCCAAGGTCTGTTTCTGTTGCTCCCCTCTGGGAAGAGGTTTCAAAGTATTTAAAGCAGCACTACCAGATTCTGGTAAACTCACAAGATTCATTTTTCTTGCCATGTACATGTATACATCCAAACTGTGTTTTTTCTCTGTGTTATTTAGACTGTGTTATTTCTCTGTGTCATATAACATATGTGGGTATGTGCATAATTTTGTATTTATTAATTTATTTCATCATGTTTTTGTAGTGTATATTGGGGTGGTGACTCTTTCAGAACTGTATGCAACAAAATTTCATTTTAATGTTTGGTAATGAGTATACATTCAAAGTGACAATAAAGTTATTGTCTAACTCTAAATCATACCAAATTATGACACACGTGCTCATTTTCATATAACTCAAACACCCAGCTTCACCTTGACTCTCAAGTCGATTTGCTCTGTGAATCAGCAACAAGAGATATAAACATGTTTTTCCCCTTCTAGTGCCAGGAGAATATGTCAGAACAGTAATTGTTAAGGTATCCCCTATAGATTTCTACCCTCACAAATCTTTCACGATAAAATCTGCTATAAAAAAAATATGCCTCTAGTTATCCCAGTGGAGACAGGACATGACTGTACTTTCTCTTGTCTTGCAAATAGCAAACTTCTGGGTTTGCTGAGACTCAGCTGGCCATTGCTTTTTCTTTGGCCACAGCCTGAACCGAGATAAGAGGAAACATGGTTGATATAAATTTTCCCTGAGGCCATCCAGGTAGAATGTGTGGTGTCTATTCTGCTAAAGCTTTGGTGAGATTTCAAGTGCTACCTGCAAGTTGGCTTCTCCAAAAACCTTGACTTATGATCGAGGAGGGAAGGTGACAAGAATGACTGGGCTGCCTCTCCTCCTCCTGCTGCTCTTCTGGCTCCTGCCTCCAACTGCTGCTAAGAAGATGCAAAGTGTGAGTGTTTTGAGGAATTATTTCCAGTCACAGGAAAGCTACTATAGGCCTGGTGACCTCATTATTGGTGGAACGGTGCACCTGGGAGTAATTGATCATTCCGTCATTCCAGACTTCCAAAAAGACCCATTCTTGTTTTTTACACAGCTGCAAAGTGTGTAAGTCTCACCTGGACGGGTATGATGTAGATAATTATTTCTTTGTTTTAAATTAAGGGGCTCTTTTGAAAAATGCCTGTTCTGGCATCTAGTTCAAATCTTTATTCTTTCCTCCATAAAGAGCCCAATTCTTAAAATAGGTAAAATTCTCTATAGAGAAGATTTCATCAGTAAACAACAAAAGTGAGGCAGGACAAGAGCTTAGAAATTCTGCTGGCCTAGTGAAGAAGTTGAATTCTAATATTAATTCGGAGAGAAGGTCGTGCTAAGAAGCTTAAAGAGAAGCTCAATTCTTTTCAAGGGTCCAGGAGTTACATAAAAACTGCTCAGTTTTTGAATCAGCAGGGCTGACAATCTTTAACAAATACAATAGGGGCCAAAACTGTAGAAACCTTTTGAGAAAAGTGTATTTTTTAGGTTTGATGGCTAATGACACCACTTTTTTTTTTTTTTTTGGAGTTTCAGGATAACAATATTCCATTGCTGGAATGTCCTGGGAATAGCCTAGACCTTCCCCCAATGGAAAATCTATGGAGCTGACTAAAGAATCTTGTTACTCAAAAGTGACCCAGCAATAAAACGAAGTTACTAGAAGCAACCATTCAATCTTGGTTTCACATTATAACAGCTGCAGAACTAAAAGACTTGGCTTACTCCATGGGAAGATGTTGTAAAGCCTTAATTCAGTGGTGGGTTGCCCCTGGTTCAAACCGGTTCACAAGAACCAGCAGTAAAACCGGCGGGAGGCCCCGACAACTGCCCTGTATGTTGTCATCAGCGATCTGTGCATGCGTGCAATCCTCTTACGAACTGGTAGCAAAGGTAAGTAGAACCCACCCCTGCCTTAATCCATGCTAAAGGTTACCCAACTAAGGATTAACTGACATGGTGATAATTTTTGTACATCTCGTTTTTTCTACAAGTTTCCCTTTTCTTCTTTATCCATTAACTGCTATTCTAATAACAAATCCTTCATAAAAGTTATTGCATTACATTCTTGATTAAATTAACTTCCCATTGATACAGTATATAATTTTACGGTATTACTCCAAAAAAAGTGGGCTTATTAGCTAGTTTTAGAAAATACACTTTCCCCAAAAGGTTTCCACAATTTTGGCCACTACTGTAGATGCTGGGACTCCCACTGAAGAAACTGCTCCAAGAGAGAACAAAATTAATTATGGTGCCAATAAAAGAACGGGGAAGGATTACAACCACTGCAGCAAAGTGAAGAAGGAAAGTTCTTTAGAAGGTATAAAAGGTTCTGTGATGTGAAAAGAGACACTTTTCTCCTTTCTCACAAAGTCATACAAGTTTCATCAAGAAATGTCTAAGGGCTCAAACCAATGAAACTTGGGACTTTTGACTCCAACCAACACCAAAAAAAAAAAAAAAAAGGCAAGGCAAGGCTAATACAACAGCATGACCTTTTCTGAAAATTTCCCCCATGATTTTTCTCACAATAGACTCATAGCCAAGAGCTACCAGCAGTTCCTGGCCATGGTATTTGCAGTCGGAGAGGTCAACAAGGATCTGGTTCTCCTCCCCAATATCACACTGGGGTTCGACATTTCTGACAATCAAAAGGTTGAGAGAAGTATTTCAATAATCGGCCTCTCCCTGCTGTCCACACGAGGCCGGATGATTCCAGGTTATAAATGTGACAGGCAGGACCCTCTGCTCTCTGTCATTGGAGGCTTCATCCCCAAATCTTCAAGGCAGATGGCCTCCATCTTCAGCATCTACAAGGTCCCACAGGTAAGGGGCTTCCAATGTTTGATACGGACATGGACAAACAAGGGAAAAACAGAGAGAAACCAAAGATGCTTACTGGGGCACATCACAAATATGTGACTTAGAGAATCCACATGACAGTTGGATTTATTTTTATTTTCATGTGTCAAAGTAATTTTTTATATAATATGACAATCATTTAAATATGAGCCAGCAGTGTGCTGCAACTGCCAAAAAGCCAACACAGTTCTGTAGGAAGTTAACTCCTACCTCTCTCCTAGAAGAATGAAATATTTTGGAAAATATTAAAAAAAAGGCAGAATATTATATTTCCCTGAATGAGAAATGGAGAAACATGTTTTAAACACAAAGCAGCTTCCTCCCTCCCGCCCCACCTTTGTCAATGGGCATATGAAGAACAGTTGCAGGAACTGGGTATGTCTAGTTTGATGAAAAGAAGGACTAGGGGGTGACACGAAAACAATCTTCCAATATCTCAGGTAGTGCCAAAAAGAAGACAGAGCCAAGCTAATATCCAAAGCCCCTGAGGACAGGACAAGAAGCAATGGGTGGATACTAATCAAGGAGAGAAGCAACTTAGAACTAAGGAGAAATTTCCTGACAGTTACAATGATTAACTTGCCTCCAGAAGTTGTAAATGCTCCAACACTGGAAGTGTTTAAGAAGAGATTGGATAACCATTTCTCTGAAATGATATAGGGTTTTCTGCCTAAGCAGAGGATTGGACTAGAAGACCTTCAAGGTCTCTTCAAACTCTGTTATTCTATGATAGAATCAGATAATGAGATGTTTCCTAAACACTGACTGTGCCAAGAGTATTTTTTAATGTATTCCTAATTAACTAATACTTTAGCCACCCTTTCAGTGCAATGTATTCCCTTTATCAGTTGAATGGTTTGTATCTTTGTCTTCTGACCTGTCCCAACCAGGCAAAATATATAACTTTCCACTAAGAAGGAAGAAGCTTAAGGGTGCCAGTAAGAGTGAATTAGGCTGACTAATGGAGCCATCAATCATAAAATGGTGACCCTTAAAACTTACATAAAACTTACTTTGTCTTTAAAAGAAGAATCTCATTTTCTCTAGCTCGGTGTTGGCTTTGAGTTCTCTGAGGGAGAGAGAAGAGCTTATCCTTCCTTCTTCAGGATTAATTCCAAGGAATTTCCTCAGTATGTGGGTTTAGTCCAGCTGCTCCTGTATTTCCAGTGGAACTGGGTTGGGCTCGTTTCCAACAATGCTGACAGTGGAGAACGTTTCCTCTCATCTCTGATGCCAATGCTCAAGGAGAAGGAGATCTGTGCGGCCTTCACTGAAATATTGAAATCGGATGATTTTTTCAATACATGGAAAACAGTTGTTCTTTTTTTAAAAAACTGTTGTAAAGCTGAAGTGATTATTCTCTTTGGAGACCCTCATACTAATGCAAATATACAGTCAGCTTTGCATTTTCACATAACGTCAACAAAGTCAACGCTTCAGAAAGTTTGGATCCTAACTTCCCAATGGAAACATAATGTGGGGGCAGTTAAAGATGCATTGCCACTTATAAAGCCCTTCCATGGGGCTTTGCAGTTAAGGGACCACACAGGGGATATCTCAGAATTCATCCATTTTCTCACATCTTTAGACCCTTTGAACCCAAAAGGGGACATCTTTCTCCCACAGTGGTGGGAAAAAGTCTTTGACTGTGAGATACAGAGACCAGGAATATTCATTCCAGAGATGGTGAAGAAATGTACAGGAAAGGAGAATGTACAAAATGTGCCCGCTCATGTTTTTGAAACAAGCATGACAGGTGAAAGTTACAATATCTACAATGCCATTTTTGCTCTGGCACATGCATTACATGCGCTGTTTGGATCCAGAGCCCAACCATCAAAGATGAGACTTGGAAAGAGGATATCAAATGTCCATTCATGGCAGGTAATCTATGTAACTTTTTTAGGTAGTCCATAGCCCTAGAAAGAAACTTTCCTGTATGTATTCCTTGAATTTACCAATTCCATATCTTTATGCTACCATCAACAGTGTAACGATATGGAATAAGTACAATTGAGTTCAAAATTTGCTAAGCAAGGCATGTTGTTAAGTGAGCTTTGACCCATTTTAAGAGATTTTTTGCCACAGTTGTTGAGCTGTGGTCATTAAATGAATTTGATGCCCCTCCCAAGGTCCAGTTAATCTTTGAGCCAATCCGAAGGTGCAAAGTTGTTGTGATAATTTTTGGCTAAGAAGGTGATAACAGGCAGTTCCCAGGTGCCTCCTGTGATGAGAAAAAACAGATGGCCAGAGGCACATTCTTCCCCCTTCCCAACTTCCCCAAAGGTCCATCAAAGCAGAGAAAGGACCAAAGGAAAATCCCATATAAGCATATCTCCAAACCTTCCCCCTCCCACCAAAATGCCAAGGTCCCCATAGAGATCAATGGGACCTGGCACAGAATGAGAGAAGCCATGATGTCTCATTTGTGACTTTCTGGTTGATTACTTTAATTTCTGAATGTTTCTTTTCTTTCAGATCCTTGCCTATTTGAGAAATATCCAGTTCAACAACAGTGCTGGAGATGAAGTCTCCTTCTCAGAAAATGGACTTGGGTCTGCTCAATATGATCTTCTCAACTGGGTTTTCCTCCCCAATCAATCTTTTGTCCCTGTGAAAGTTGGGAAACTAGATGCTGGGGCTCTCCCAGGCCAAGATTTCATCATTGACTCTGACGCAATCATCTGGGTCACAAAGGTGAGATGGAAGGAAATGTTCTAAATTTAGGGAAAGATTCATTCTTTCCCGGGGATGCAGAATATCTTTCTAACTGAAAACAGAACTATTGAATTATATATCATGCGGACATTTGGAAAAACCTTCGCGTGTAACACAATTGAGGTAGATATGTGGCCGGTCTACAAAGGTTTAGGATTGGAAAGGACTTCTTCTTGATACCCAGGATGCAATTGGAGGACACAAAAACAAAATTTTCATGGACCATTCCTGTTCAGTTGGATCTTCATGAATCTTTGTTTTTAAAAGCTCAATGCTTTTTCCCCTTTCTCTCAAGATTAAGCTCCCAGTTCCAATCTCCAGTATCCATTGTTTGGTCAGGAATGCTACTGGCCTTAATCCCTCAGGAGATGTTCCTGACTTCTTGTAGATGATGGTGAACCATTTATTTTGAACACAGAAAAAGATATGTGGAAAGCAATAATGAAGTATGTTCATTGCTTAGACCTTCTCAAGCATTTCTCTTTTGCCTTTTAGAAGGTGCCCTTTGCCAGGTGTGGCATGAAGAGGTGCCAGGCAGGAGAGAGGAGAAGAGTTCCAGAAGGCCAGCAGGTTTGCTGCTACCAATGTGACCCTTGTCCAGAAGGGACCATTTCTGATCAAACAGGTAGATCACACTTCAAATTGAGGTCTTCCATGCTCAAGGACACCGTTCAGCAGATATTAATATGTTTTCATATTAATCAATTTTTGGTAGGATTGACGTGCTTCGAAGTATTCATAGTTCTCATCTTAGTTTATGGAACTAAACTCAGCCCACAGGCTAACTTCCTGCTCCTAACCAATTTAATGCAGGGTAATTTCAGGAAACAACATATGGGAACCCTACTAGCCTATCTTCCTGTATTTTCGCATCCCATTGGAAGAATAGCTAGCAATCTTTTCATAAAGGATGGGAGCAGGGGTGAAATCCAGCAGGATCTGACAGGATCTGGAGAACTGGTAGCAGAAATTTTGAGCAGTTTGGAGAACTGGCAAATACCACCTCTGGCTGGCCCCAGAGTAGGGTGTGAATGGAGATTTTGCAGTATCCTTCCCCTGGAGTGGGATGGGAATGGAGATTTTGCAGTATCCTTCCCCTGCCATGCTCACCAAGCCATGCCCACCAAGCCATACCACGTCCACAAAACCATGCCCACAGAACTGATAGTAAAAATTTCTGGATTTTACCACTGGATGGGAGTGTGAGATTCAAGCTTTATTTTCTATTATTTAGGTGGTTCTTTTTTCAGCACTACTAATCTCCCAGGAAATTGATAGATCTATAGGAAAAATAGTAGATTGATTTATAGCTATCTACTAACCTTCTCCTGGAGGGAAAAACAATCTGAATGGGCAGATTTGAAATACAAACAGAGATGCTGATCCAGGAAGCTCTCAATGCTGTATTGTCTCTGCATCTTTTTTTCCTTTCTCTCTCCTACAATCAATTTCCTGGTAAATCACTTTTGAATGAGAAAAGAGACCTTTCTCCCTTACAATACTCAATATACAGCTGCACGTCCTTTTCTTTTCTCGTTTTGTGACACTTTCAGCCCAGAAGAATGAACAAGGTACGCATAAACAAAATAGCAATATTCCTGCCTTACAGATCTATCAGAATTCTGTGGGTTTCAATGTTAATTTGAAAAAAACCCACATCTCATAGTTTCTCTCATTCTGAAATGTACAATAGGCGTTAATGTGCCCAGTGATTGGAGAGACCCTTTATTCAGTGGTGGGATTCAGCCGGTTTGGGCAGATTTAGGCAAACCGGTAGTTAAATTGTTTGCTGGCCCCTCCCTGCCCCGCCCCCTCCAGGAGTACCCACACAACCCATTTTTGCTCCTGGGGTGTGTGTGTAGGAAGCTGAGTGGTACCTGTCACACTCCCTGGCCATGCCCACCATATCCACGCTTCCTCACCAGCCCATTAGACAGAGAATTGGTTGTTAAATTATTTGAATCCCAACACTGCCTTTATTCCAGAATAAACTGATCAAACAGCTGAGGATGAACTGATTCTTGTCTCTAATCTACCCTCAGTGTCATCATGAGGGATTATGTGCTCTTTTTGATCCACTATGTAATACACATAGTTCATTCCATCACTAAGTCTGCGGTCATGTCACCCTGATGGGAGGGTTAACACATATGGCAGATGCCCCTGAAATCCTTAAACAAAGACTCTTGATTTCAGATGCTGCCCACTGTGACCTCTGCCCAGAAGACCGATACCCCAATGAGCACAAGGACCACTGCATTGCCAAGAGGATCCACTTCCTTGCCTATCAAGACACCCTGGGATACACTTTATTATGTCTCGCTCTTTTCCTCTCTATGGTCACATTGGCAGTCCTGGTGATTTTCCTTAAACATCACGAAACACCGATTGTCAAGGCCAACAACCGAAATCTCACCTACATCCTCCTGGTTTCCCTAATGCTCTGCTTCCTCTGCTCCTTCCTCTTCATTGGTCGACCCAGAAAGCTCACCTGTCTCTTCCAACAAACTTCATTTGCCATCCTCTTTTCCCTTGCAGTTTCCTCTGTCTTGGCAAAAACGGTCACGGTGGTTCTGGCCTTCATGGCCACTAAACCTGGGAACAAGACAAGGAAACTCTTAGGAAAACCACTGACCAACTCCATTGTCTTAGGCTGTCCCCTGATCCAAGCAGGTTTTTGTGCCACTTGGCTGGCAACATCTCCTCCATTTCCTAACTTGGACTTCCACTCTTTGATAGGAGAGATCATCTTGGAATGTAATGAAGGCTCAGCTTCAATGTTTTATGCTGTCCTTGCCTATCTGGGTTTTTTGGCCCTTGTCAGTTTCACAGTGGCTTTTCTGGCTAGGAAATTGCCTGACAGCTTTAATGAAGCCAAATTCATCACTTTTAGCATGCTAGTCTTTTGCAGTGTTTGGATCACTTTCCTCCCCAGCTATCTGAGCACCAAGGGAAAGTCCATGGTGGCTGTGGAGATCTTCTCCATTTTGGCCTCTGGAGCTGGTCTTTTGGTTTGTATCTTTTCCCCCAAATGCTACATTATCTTACTGCGACCCCATCTGAATTGTAGGGAAAATATAATGAAGCACAGAAATCTCTGATTTATATGGGATTTGGGAATTTTTATTTTGGCTTGGGTGCATTTTGACAGTTGTCCCCAGAGAAGACTTGGTAATGAACATGGAAATCAACATTGAGATTAAATAAGTGGATAATAATTTCCACCTGTACAGTTTCTTCATTTATTTTTTATCAAATCACTTTTAAAAAATGGGTTGGATTAACTATTTATGTTTTTAAACATGTTTCTTTTCATAGAGCTCTGAGGTTTTGTTTAGGTCACACTTCCATGCTATCCAGGGTGCACCATGAGGAGGTGAACTGACATCACACACTGCCACCATCCCTGATTATCAACTATAGGTCCCAGTTTGAGCAAGTTGGAAGAAAAGTTTCCAACTCCATCTGACTACAGGCTTCCCACAGGACTGTGTTTTGAGTCCAGTACTCTTCACTTTGATAACCCACGACTGCTGTGCCAAATCTGCTATGAATCATATTGTGAATTATGTGGATGACACGGCAGTGGTGGGTCTTACCCAAGACAACAGTGAAGATGCTTATACAGAAGAGGTGAAGGCTCTGTTGGACTGGTGCAAGAAAAGTAACCTGGTTCTAAACGTTGATAAAACAAAGGAGGTCATTGTAGATTTTAGAAAGAGCCTGCATGGTCATACTCCACTCAGTATCAATGATTCTACTGTAGAGGTTTTATCTGTGAGTGCCGATAACCAACAATCTGAACTGGTCTCTCCAGACATCATCCTTACTGAAGCGAACAAACCAGAGTCTGCATTTCTTGCATCAGATGAGAAGAGCACATCTTTCTCCTTCTGTCCTGGCCACTTTTTACAGCAGTGCCTCAGATAGAAAGTCCCTAAAGAGAGTGGTGAGGACAGTGGAGAAAATTATAGGAAGGTTGCTTCCCATTATTCAGTATGCTGCTTTAAGCGCTCTGTGCTTAGAGCTCAAAGCATTGTCAGACACCCCACACACCCACTCCAGGGTCTGTTTCTTTTGCTCCCCACTGGCAAGGGGTTTCAAAGTATTTCTAGAAGGACTACCAGATTCTGTAACAGCTTTGTTCCTTAGGCCATCCATCTGGCAAACTTGCAAGATTAGTTTTTCATGCCATGAACATGTATTCATCCAAACTAGATTGTGTTATTTCTCTGTCGTATAATATATGTGGGTATATGCATATTTATTTATGTGTGTATGTATATATATATATAACATATTCATTTCATCATGTAGTGTGTATTGGGATAGTAACCCTTTGAGAGCTGTATGCAATGAAATTTCATTTTAATATATGCCGATTAGCCTACATTCAAAGAGACAATAACGATATTCTAAGTCATATCTTAACAAATTATGACACAATTGCTCAGTTTCATGTAATTCAAACACCCAACTTCACCTTGACTCTCAAGTCAATTTGCTCTGTGAATCAGCAACAAGAGATATAAACATGTTTTTTCCCCTTCTAGTGCCAGGACAATATGTCAGAACAGTAATTGTTAATGTATCCCCTGTAGATTTCTACCCTCACAAATCTTTCAAGATAAAACCTGTTATAAAAAAATATACCCCTAGTTCTCCCAGTGGAGACAGGACATGTCTGTCACCTACTGTTGTCTTGCAAACAGCAAACTTCTGGGCTTGATCATAGTTTTCTCTTTGGCCACAGCCTGAACCCAGATAAGAGGAAACATGGTTGATATAAATTTTCTCTGAGGCCATCCAGGTAGAATGGGTTGTGTCTATTGTGCTAAAGCTTTGGTGAGATTTCAAGTGCTACCTGCAACTTGGCTTCTCCAAAAACCTTGACTGATGATCTAGGAGGGAAGGTGACAAGAATGACTGGGCTGCCTCTCCTGCTGCTGCTGCTCTTCTGGCTCCTGCCTCCAACTGCTGCTAAGAAGATGCAAACTGGGTGTGTGTTGAGGAATTATTTCCAGTCACAGGAAAGCTACTATAGGCCTGGTGATCTCATGATTGGTGGAAATGTGCACCTGGGAATCATGACTCTTTCAGTTGTTCCAGACTTCCAAAAAGACCCATTCTTGCTTTTTATGCACCTGCAAAGTGTGTAAGTCTCACCTGGAGGGGTATGATGTAGATAATTATTTGCTTTGTTTTAAATTCAGGGACTCTTTTGAAAAATGCCTGTTCTGGCATCTAGTTCAAATCTTTGTTCTTTCCTCCGTAAAGATCCTAACTCTTAAAATATGTAAAATTCTCTATAGAGAAGTTTTCATCAGTAAAGAATAAAAGTGCGGCAGGACAAGAGCTTAGAAATTGTGCTGGCCAAGTGAAGAAATTAAGTTATAATATTCATTTGGACAGAATGTCATGTTGAGAAGCTTAAAGAGAAGCTCAACTCTTTTCCAGTGTCCAGGAGTTGCATAAAAACTGCTAAGTTTTTGAATCAACAGGATTGACAATCTTTAACAAATACAGTACTGGACAAAACTTTTGGGAAAAGTGTATTTTGTAGGTTAGATGGCTAATGACACCACTTTTTTCTTTTTTTGAGTTTCAAGGTAACAATATTCCATTGCTGGAATGTCCTGGGAATAGCCTAAACCTTCCCCCAATGGAAAATCTATGGAGCTGAAAATCTATGGAGCTGGGTCACTTTTGACTTTTGTTAGTCAAAAGTGACCCAGCAAAAAAACGAAGTTACTAGAAGCAACCATTCCATCTTGGTTTCACATTATAACAGCTGCAGAACTCAAAGACTTGGTTTACTCCATGGGAGGATGTTGTAACGCCTTACTTCAGTGGTGGGTTGCCCCGGTTCAGACCGGTTCACAAGAAAATTTATTCAGGCAATAGAAACTTTATACCACAAACAAAAGGCAAAAGTCATGATAAATGGAGAATTGACTGATTCCATTGAGATAGAAAAAGGTACCAGACAAGGATGTCCACTGTCCCCACTGTTGTTTATATTGACATTAGAAATCTTAAATAGAAATATTAGAGAAGAAAAAGATATAAAAGGAATGAAAATTCAAAAAGAAGAATACAAATTGCAAGCATTTGCTGATGACCTGGTCTTTATTATTGAAGATCCATTAACTCAATAAATACTTTGATAGAGAATATTGGAGAGTTTGGGAAAGTAGCTGGTTTGAAAATTAATAAAGATAAAACGAAGATTTTGACCAAAAATATGTTGACAAAGCAAAAAGAAGAATTGATGAAGATATCAAAGATTCAGGTCGCTAATAAAGTTAAATACTTAGGAATATATTTGACAGCAAGGTGTAGTACACTTAAAGAAAATAACTATAATAAACTTAAGCAACAGATGGGGGCAGACTTGGTGAAATGGGAAAATTAGCAGCTTTCCTTGCTTGGTAGGATATCAACTATTAAGATGAATATTTTGCCTAGAATTTTATATCTGTTCCAGACAATTCCAATTAGATTGGGGAAAGATTTTTTTGGAAGATTTGAATAAAATGGTGTTAAACTATATTTGGGAGGGGAAGAAGGCGAGGATAAAATTAAAGTTATTACAAGATGCTAGAATGCAGGAAGGCTTTGGTTTACCTAATTGGGAACTTTATTATCAAGCAACAAGCCTGATGTGGATTAAAGAATGGATACCTTTAGGAAATATTAGATTATTGAATCTAGAAGGACATGATTTGTTGATGGGGTGACATGCTTTTTTATGGTATAAAGGAACAAAAATACAGGGGTATTTTAGAAGACACTATATATGTGAGGCTCTGTTATTGAATTGGGAGAAGATTAAAAAAAACATTATTTGAAAATTCCACTCTGGGTATCTACAATTGAAGCATTTTCATATTCAATAGTATTCAGACGGGAACAAATTGTTAGATATAGTGAATTAATGGATGAAAAGGGTGAACTTAAAACAAAGCAAGAATTAGAAGAACAAGGTTTCAAGATGGATTGGCAAACTGGTGGTAAAGGTAAATAGAACCCACCCCTGCCTTAATCCATGCTAAAGGTTACCCAACTAAGGATTAACTGACATGGTGATATTTTTTGTATATCTCATTTTGTCTATGAGTTTCACTTTTCTTCTTTATACATTAACTGCTATTCTAATAACAAATCCTTCATAAAACTTATTGCATTACATTCTTGATTAAATTATCTTCCCATTGATATATAATTTTACGGTACTACTCCTAATAAAGTGGGGTTATTAGCTAGTTTTAGAAAATACACTTTCCCCAAAAGATTTCCACAATTTTGGCCACTATTGTAGATGCTGGGACTCTCACTAAAAAAGATGCTCCAAGAGAGAACCAAATTAATTGGGGTGCCAGTAGAAGAATGGGGAAGGATTACAACCACTGCAGCAAAGTGAAGAGGGAAAGTTCTTTAGAAGGTATAAATTGTTCTGTGATGTGAAAAGAGACACTTTTCTCCTTTCTCACAAAGTCATACAAGTTTCATCAAGAAACGTCTATGGGCTCAAACCAATGAAATTTGGGACTTCTGACTCCAACCAACACCAAAAAAAAAAAAAAAAGGCAAGGCAAGGCAAATACAACAGCATGACCTTTTCTGAAAATTTCCCCCATGATTTTACTCACAATAGACTCATACCCAATAGCTACCAGCAGCTCCTGGCCATGGTATTTGCAGTCAGAGAGGTCAACAAGGATCTGGTTCTCCTCCCCAATATCACACTGGGGTTCCACATTTCTGACAATAATCAGATTGACAGAAGTATTTCAATAATCAGCCTTTCCCTGCTCTCCACACGAGGCCGAATGATTCCAGGTTATAAATGTGACAGGCAGGACACTCTGCTCTCTGTCATTGGTGGCTTCATACCCAAATCTTCAAGACAGATGGCCTCCATCTTCAGAATCTACAAGGTCCCACAGGTAAGGGGGATTGGTGGGATTCAGCCAATTCGCACCACTTCAGGAGAACCAGTCATTAACTTTCTGAGCATTTGGCAAACTGATTGTTGGAAGAAATCATTAGGGCAGAGAACTAGTTGTTAAATTACTTGAATCCCACCACTGGTAAGGGCCATCCAATGTTGGATACGGACACAGACAAACAAGAGAAAAACAGAGAGAACCCAAAGATGCTTACTGGGGCACAACACAAATATGTGACTTAGAGAATCCACATGACAGTTGGATTTATTTTTATGTTCAAGATAATTTTTTATATAACATGACAATCATTTAAATATGAGCCAGCAGTGTGCTACAACTGCCAAAAAGCCAACACAGTTCTGTGGGAAGTTAGCAGCCACCCCTCTCCTAGAAGAATGAAGTATTTTAGGAAATATATTAAAAAAGGCAGAATATTATATTTTCCTGGATGAGAAATGGAGAAACATGTTTTAAACACAAAGCAGCTTCCTGCCTCCCGCCCCACCTGCCTCCCGCCCCACCATGTCAATGGGCATATGAAGCACAGTTGCAGGAACTGCGTATGTCTAGTTTGATGAAAAGAAGGACCAGGGGTGACATGATAGCAATCTTCCAATATCTCAGTGCCAAAAAGAAGAGGGAGCCAAACTAATGTCTAAAGCCCCTGAGGGCAGGACAAGAAGCAA